GACGGTGCCCCGCGTTTTCCTTCCTTCCTTCCTTCCTTCCTTCCTCCCGCTGCCTCCTCCCCCCTCCCATCATCATCATCATCATCATCATCATCAACACCCAATTCGGCACACCCCTCACACGTTTCGTGGCTCCATAGGGAGCTCCACCGAAGGCCCCAGTGCCCGCGGCCGCATGCGTCACCCACACCCATTTCGGCACACCCCTCACACGTTTCGTGGCTCCATAGGGAGCTCCACCGAAGGCCCCAGTGCCCGCGGCCGCATGCGTCACCCACACCCATTTCGGCACACCCCTCACACGTTTCGTGGCTCCATAGGGAGCTCCACCGAAGGCCCCAGTGGCCGCGGCCGCATGCGTCACCCAGTGCCCGCGGCTCGCATGCGTCCCCCACACCCATTTCGGCACACCCCTCACACGTTTCGTGGCTCCATAGGGAGCTCCACCGAAGGCCCCAGTGCCCGCGGCCGCATGCGTCCCCCACACCCATTTCGGCACACCCCTCACACGTTTCGTGGCTCCATAGGGAGCTCCACCGAAGGCCCCAGTGCCCGCGGCCGCATGCGTCACCCACACCCATTTCGGCACACCCCTCACACGTTTCGTGGCTCCATAGGGAGCTCCACCGAAGGCCCCAGTGCCCGCGGCCGCATGCGTCACCCACACCCATTTCGGCACACCCCTCACACGTTTCGTGGCTCCATAGGGAGCTCCACCGAAGGCCCCAGTGCCCGCGGCCGCATGCGTCCCCCACACCCATTTCGGCACACCCCTCACACGTTTCGTGGCTCCATAGGGAGCTCCACCGAAGGCCCCAGTGCCCGCGGCCGCATGCGTCACCCACACCCATTTCGGCACACCCCTCACACGTTTCGTGGCTCCATAGGGAGCTCCACCGAAGGCCCCAGTGCCCGCGGCCGCATGCGTCACCCACACCCATTTCGGCACACCCCTCACACGTTTCGTTTCGTTTCGGGCTCCATAGGGAGCTCCACCGAAGGCCCCAGTGCCCGCGGCCGCATGCGTCACCCACACCCATTTCGGCACACCCCTCACACGTTTCGTGGCTCCATAGGGAGCTCCACCGAAGGCCTCAGTGCCGCCGCCCGCATGCGTCACCCCCACCCATTTCGGCACACCCCCCGCATTTCTCGCACGGCAGGGTCATCACCACGGTGGCGTGCCAGGGGCGCACCATGCGCGAAGGCGACGGGGCGGGGGAACGGCGCTCCGGGGGCGGCCAGACCTCCGGGGCGCGAGCAGTCCGCGGCCAGACCATCTCTCGGTCCTGTGGACTCTCGCCCTGGGCCGTCGGCTGCCCGGCGCGCTGCTCCCTCGGTCGACGTCGCCCAGGCGTGATCCTGGATTGCGGCCGCCACGAGGTAGGGAACGGCAAGAAGGAGGACGACGACTGGTGGCTGGAGCTCTACGCGCTGCTCTCGCGCGCCACGCGCCACGAGGACCTCCTGCTCATGCGGGCGCCGCGCATCGAGTTCTTCCTGGCAGGGCCGCCGCAGGGCTTGCGGAAGCAGCTGGAGCAGTTTGCGGCGCGCACGAAGCGGCGCAGGAGGGAAGCGACGGCCCTCGCCAGGGAGCTCGGCTTCACCGAGTTCATCCGCGAGGCCTGACCTGAGGAGCGTCTCCCCCGAGCCGCGCCTTCTCTCGACTGCCCGACTAATTGTTTGGCCTCGCGCCGCGGACGACCCGCGCGCGTCGCTGGGACCCTCTCGGGGCGACCAGCGCGCGTCGCGGGAACTCCGCGCTGCGGGGGGCCCGGCGCCTCGTTCGCCCGTCGTCGCTCTGCCCAGCGGTCAGAGACTTGCCCGCTATCAGCCAGCCAGTTAGCTAGTCAGCTCTCTCTGCTTCGCGCAGCGGACGACCCGCGCGCGTCGCTGGGACCCCGCCCGGGGCGACCAGCGCGCGTCGCGGGGACTCCGCGCTGCGCTGCGCCCGCAGCCTTGGATTTTGGAGTGCGCGGGCAAAGAGGAAGGAAAAGAAGAGCCGAAAGCGGGCGCGATCCTCGCAAGAGGCGTGCCGACATGGGCGTCGCGACGTGCGGACGCTGCCGTCGGGGTTCCCGCGGAAGCTGCCTGCGGCGGCCACGCCCAGTGTCACGTGTGTTCGGACAGGCATGCTCGACACTTACACTAGGCGTTTCCATGATCGCATTCATGCAAATATATTCACTCGCGCGCAGACCCATTCATACTCAGATTCCCTCGCGCTCTGACTCACCCGCGTTCTTTCTCTCGTAATCAGATCTATCGTATTCCTTTGCGTTGTGTGCCCCGCCACATTTCGGCACACCCCTCATGCGGTTCGTGGCCCCATAGGGAGCGCCACCGAAGAAGATACTCACAATTGCGATACTCACAACTGCATATGGTTGGGTCCTTCGCCAGGATATTTTTTTGAAAGGGATGGTGGGGGGGGGGCCTCATGGGGTCAGCACGGTTCGGGGTGGGCCGCCAGCCTGGCGGGGGAGGGTGGGGGAGGGGGTGTATATTCATTTTTTTGATCTGCAGGGCGAGAGCGAACCTCTTCCGAGGGTGTATACTCTCGGGGGACAGTGGAAAACCCATCCCCGAAGGGGGAGAGGGAGGGGCGGAAGAGGCGACGCGCCAGACCACCTGCGCCCTCGAGGGCGTAGGTGGGACTGGGGGGAGCCTTCCAGTGGCCGAGGCCCGCCGCGGCCATAGAAGCGCCTCTCCGGTCCTGTTTGTCTTGCGCTCCCTGGGTTTTGCCCTCTCTTGGCCTGGACGTGAGGCCCCTCCTTCTGCCTTCCCCTCTCTGTTGATTGAGGCTGTGCGCGGCCCGCTTAGCTCCGACCGGAAGAGGTGCGCTCTCGACCCGCGGGTCAAAACATTGTTCTGCGTTCCCTGGGGCAGCACGGTGGCCGTGAGAGCTTCGCCCTCGAGAGCTCCTCTGCGGCTGCCCCCGAGGTGCTCGCGCGGTGCGGGACTGGCGCGAGTGGCGGGGCAGCGCCACCGGCGCCGACGCCGCCGTGGCGGACTCTGTCGAGCTGTTGGCGCCCGGCGGTGAAGTTTATGGTCCGGGGGGGGCCTTTGGCAGCAGAGCTGTGCCACGATCATTGCACGCTGTGCCCCACCTAGCCGACGCTCACTTAAGCGCTCTCGCCAGTGCAGTAGTCGAATTGACGCGGCGCTCTCATTGTGTGTGTTTTTATATGTGTGTATATATATATATATATATCTTTATGTATTTCTCTCTCTCTCTCTATTTCTCTCTCTCTCTCTCTCTCTTTCTATATATAATGCCCTTCTCTCGCTCTCTCTTTCTCTCCCTCTGTCTCTCCCTCTCTCTCTCTCTCTTTCCCTCTCTGTCACTACCTCTCTCTCTCTGTTGTTTTCTTTCGGCATCTCTCTCTCTCTCTCTCTCTCTCTCTCTCTCTCTCTCTCTATATATATATATATATATATATATATCCCTCTCTCCCTCTCTCCCCCGCATAGATCGCTTTCTTTATCTCACTCCCCCGTTCTTTTTTACTCTCTCTCTCTCTCTGTCTCTCTCCCCCTGTCTGCATCCAGACCTCAAACAGCGTGTTTCTAGCAATTTATGCTGTTCAGTCGGTATGGACGCATATATGTAGCACATATTTGTGGTGCAGGCTATGTTGAGCCACCTATGTGGTGCCATCTACGGCATGCAATATATGTGGTGCACTCTGCGTGGTGCAGTCTATATGGTGCCGTATGGACTGCGCAGCGCATGTGGCGCTATCTATCAATGTCTTGCAATACATGCTATGCAGTATACTTGGTGCAGTAGAAGTTGTGCAACATCTATGGTGCAACCTGTGTTGTGCAACCTACGTGCAATATATGTTGTGCAATATGTGTATATATATATAGAGATAACTATATATATATATGTATATATATATATGTATATATATATATGTTATGCAATTTATGTGGTGCAGTCCATAGTTTGTCATCTATGCGTGGGGGGGTGCAGCGGGCCAGCGGCCACGGGCGTCGCCGGGGCAGCGACGGGGTGGCGACGGCGGCAATAAGGCAGCGGATCCGACAAACGAGCCCAGACGACGGGCGGCGACGAGGCGGTGACGGCGGCAACAACGCGGCGGACCCGACAAACGAGCCCAGTTACTTAGAAGACAAGTGCGAATCCCTAAGTGAAAGCACTATTTGGGTGTATGTGTATATCAGCATGTGTATAGATGTACCTACGATGGTACACTTATCGAATCGTCTCTTTCGCTCTCTCTTTCTCTCTCTCTCTCTTTTATTTGTCCCGTCTCCCTCCTAAAGAGAATGCACCATGGGACAATCGGAACCGCCAATTGAAGAAGCAAGTGTGGCTGATAGATGCTGCAGGTTCGGTGCAATGTTGTCATACAGCTCATCTCAGTGTACGACTGTTGGTTAAATTTCCACAGCGAGCTCGGGCGGGATGTGGGCACAAAGCACGCGCGTTTCTGAGGGCTGACCTGCCGTCGCCCCATTCGAGCCACGATTCGCCCGAGGGGGCAGGAGACCAGAACAGGCAACTCAGACACCAGGTGATTCGAGTGGCAGTGCTTCAAAGAGCACGGCTGAATTTTGAGGGGCGCCGTAAGATCGATCGTCGCCGGCACAGGTTGCTAGTGTGGATGTCCAGTGGTTGTGTGTTCTCTGAGTGTTCGAGCTCCGACAGAATCAGAAGGACAAACGTTGAAACACCAGCCTGACCTAGCAGGAAGCCATGTTTCCTCGTCAGTTTGATAGTCTCGGCTCAGTCATACCATCCAGGAAAACGCCTCGTGTCCGCCGCGACAAAGCTTGAGATAACATGAAGTTTGAGGACAGAGATACGGCTGGAGGGAGCAGCCGACCTCGAGTTTGTTGATGCATCTGATGAAGGAGAGAAGCAGGAGAAAAAGGATGCTGAGAAGGAGAGAATCGGGAAAGGGAGGATGATGAGCCGAGGAGCACCACGAGTCCTGAGTATTATGGGCGGTGATCCTAGCTCGTGTTGCACGTGTCTCGTGCCCAATTCCTCTTACCCTGGGAAAGAACATTTCGGGCGCAAAGTATTGCCAAGTTGTTGAGATATGTGTTCCCCCAGCAGTTGTGGCTCCAAGACCACATGTGGGTGAGAGCGAGATAAAGAGAAAGAGAGAGAGAGAGAGAGAAAACCAAAAACAAACAAACAACGAGAGAGAAAGAGAGAGGCAAAACATACGAGGAGGAGGAGGAGGAGGAGGAGGAGGAGGAGGATGAAGAGGACGAGGAGGAGGAGGAGGAGGAGGAGGAGGAGGAAGAGAGGGAGGAGAAGGAGGAGGAGGAGGAGGAGGTTGAAGAGGAGGCCTCCTGGGAGCCTCTTGGGCCTCCTGGAGGGTTTCTTGGAAGCCTCTTGGTGGCTTCTGAGGGCTTCGTGGGGGCCTGGGACATTTGGGGGGCCTATAAGGGGCCTCTTGGCCTTTGGAGGCCGTCTTGGTGGCCTCGCTGGGCGATATTGGGGCCCTCTTGGAACACTTTGGAGCAGTCTTCGAGGCCTGCGGCCCCTCTTAAGGCCGTGTTGGGTGATTGTTGGGCCGTAGTGGGACCCTCTCGGTTCTTGGCCCGTCTTGGGGCCTTCTTGGGGGCTTCTGCGGTAATTTGGGATTCATCTTGGAGATATCTTGGGCCGTCTTCGGCTGTCGGAAGCCCGAATGATTGAAGGATCGCGGGAGCCGCCTGGAGGGCCGTCGGGAGCCGCCTTGGGAGCCTATTGAGCCTTCTTGGGCCGCCTTGCACTATCTTGGGCCGGCCTGGAAACCTTTTGGGGGCACCTTGGGCTCTCTTGGGGCCCCGTCTTCGAGACGTCCCGGGACCGTTAGGCGAGTTTCGTTGCCCTCCGGGGGGGGCCTTCCGGGGATGGCCGGCGGGATCGGCCGAGGGCCCTCGGGAAACTTCTTCGAGCTGGTTGCGGCCGTGGGTCCAAGAAGGACTCCACAAAGCTCGGCACGCCGAGCACGCCTCGGCAGGCAGGAGGGGGCCGGCGGATGCGAGGGCGCCCACCTTGCCAAAGCGCCGCCTGGCTCGTGCTCCAGAGGCCTGGCGGACACCCTGGGAGCACCTTGGGGGGGGCTCGTGAGGGCCCGTGCGACCCACCCACCCGCTTGGGTGCATGTTGGAGCCGTCTGGGGATCTGGGGCCCCAGAGGTGGAGGGATCTGGGGATCTGGGGTCCCAGCTTGGGCCTTCGGGGGGCCGTCGGGGGGTTCGGGGAGCATATCGAAGAGGCTGGCTTCCAGCGGCGCGGCGTTGGCAAGCTTGTCGAGCCTCCTTCTCTTGGGGCCATCTTGGGAGCCTCGTGGGCTCTCTGCGGAGGCGTACTGGCTCATCCAGGGCCAGCCGTGGGGTCGTCCTGGGCTGTCTAGCAGGCCCTGCGCAAAAAAAATGTTGAGACATCAGCCGATTTGGGCTTCTTGGGGGAGGCCAGGGACCTCGAAGACGGACCGAGCGACCCCCTAGAAGAGCGCGCCGAGGACGGCCGAGGTTGGCCCCGAGAGGGCTCCAGTGGCTCTGGGTGGCTTCAAAGATGGCCCCAGCATCACCCGAGTCACCCCAGGAAGGTGGGGGGCGGGAGTGAGGCAGCCCTCCTCCTACCCCCCCCATCGGACCCCGCTGGCAGGCCCCAGGACCGTCACCCTGGCGGGGAAAGGACCAGAGGGAAGGAGCTCCCTTCGACTCGATTGCGGCCCAGGCCGATTCACCTCGGGCGGGCGAGCTTGGAGAGCCCCCGGGTGGCCGCAGGGAAAGGGGGCGGAGGAGGAGAAGGAGGAGGAGAAGGAGGAGGAGGAGGAGGAGGAGGGAGGAGGAGGAGGAGGAGGAGGAGGAGGAGGAGGGAGGAGGAGGAGGAGGGAGGAGGAGAGGAGGAGGAGGAGGAGGAGGAGGAGGAAGAGGAGGAGGAGGAGCAGGAGGAGCAGGAGGAGGAGGGGTTGGAACGTTTCGATTGGAAAAGCGCCTCCCAGGACCACTCCTGGGCGACGGCCCCAGAAATCCCCCTCACGCGCGCCGACAAGGTCGGCGGATGGTCTGATCCGCTCTCGCCGTGCACGCCCAGAGCCTCAGGCCCTCCTCGCGCCGGGGCACCTCCCGAGGACAGTGCGAGCGCATGGCGCGGGACCCGCACCGCCACGCACGCCGCCCCTCGGCCGGCCGCGAGCGCCCCCGCCTCCGCGGCGAACACCTGGCCGTGCGCCACGAGCACCGCCACCAGCGAGGCCTCCGCTCCCGCGCCGCCCACCCTCCAGCGCGGGCCGCCGCGGCGTCCTCGCTGGGCCCCTGGCTGCAGGCCACGCGCCCGGCGGCGAGCGGACGTCCAGAGGGGGGCCGGCAGCGACGTTGACTCGTGGACGAAGCTGGGTCTGGGCCAGAAGATAGCCGCGCCTCGCGGCCTGGGCCAGCCCGGTTGCCCTTCTCCAGGGGGGCGGCGCCTGGGCGGAGCAGATGTTGGGCCGGAAGTGGCGGACCGTCAAGTTGGCCAAGCGGTTGACCGCGCAGTGAGGCAACACGCGGCGTTGCGCAGATTCCCCGCGGGCCCCTCCAGAGATGCGGCCGCCTCCGTATCTGCCTTCTCCCACGGCAACTAACAGCACCCCCTCGATGCGTTGGTGAGTCGCTTGCGCCGCCGACCGCTTTGCTGGCCAGACTGCGGTGGAACGCGGGGCCCATCGGGGGATCTCAGGCAACGCGCGCAGAAGAGCAGCTGAGGCACCCGACGCCAGGCGTCAGTCCGCCGCCTGGAACAGATGACATTGGCAGCTACAGGCTGGCCCCGCCGCCGCTCCCGTAGCTCTCGTCCAGGCCCTTCATTTGGGCCCCGCCGCGGGCGACGCATGAGCCGTCTGCCAGACCCCTCGTCTGACGCTTGCTCTTCCTCGACCTCTCTTGGGCTTGGGCTGGCAGGGCCCTCGTCCAAGCGACCTTGGAACCCGATGTGTGTTGAGGGCGTCGATATTGTCTTGGTCTTTGGCCTGCTCACCCAAGCTCTCGATGACAGCTCCAGCCACGAGCTGAATCATCTCGCGGGCTGGCGTCCGCAACCCTTTGACGAATAGCACATCGCCGTGGCGTTATGCCCGTGGAGTATGCACAGAGCCGCGACCCTGGACCAGCATGTGGAACGCAACGTTTCTGGCGTTTGCACGAAAATCTTTGGAGTGTCGAGGACGACCACGTGTCCTCATGCCACACACGGCGTGACTGAGGACAGCTGGTTCGGACGGCAACTTTCCACCGAGGCCCTCCCAGGGCCCACGCCAGGCAGATGGCAGGAACCGGGCAAGCGCCACGCGCCCCACGGCGCGCCGAGGCAGGCCCGCGGCCACCCAGCTGGCAAGGGCCTCTCGGGCGAAACCTGCTCCAGACCAGGCCGGAGCAGCAAACTGCGACGACATCGCGGGTGAAGAAGGCCCACAGCCCTTGCCGCTTGCAGTCCCACCCCTGGTGCCCCAGCTCAGCTCCAGCCAGCTGCCCACCCGGCGGTAGGTTCTGTTCCCGCGCTCGGTCGCTGTTTAATTAGGCTCGCGCGTAGCCCGCCCGACCTTTTCGGACGCCTCCTGCGCTTTCGCTTGCGGCCGCGACAAAAAAGATGTGAAAAAGGCCCCGACTCAGGCCTGACCATACAATTTCTGAGAACGGTTCGAGCGAAGGTGGCCCCAACCCAAACCAAAGCAGGGGCCGAATCAGGCATGTCGTGACGACCTTTCAGGCGGGGCGGCCGCTTACTGAAGCCAGACCAGGGACCAAACCAAGCAAGCTTTGACGACCTCCCAGGTGAAAGTGGTCAAACCAAGATCCATCCATTCTCTGTTGCTAGTATTCTTCACGCTTCGCGTATCCCCACCAGCGGGCGACTTCTCCGTTGCACCGCACTGCGGTCTGCTTCACTTCGGTGTGGCTGGCGCCTAGGTGCGTTCACCTTAATGCGGAGCATTTTGCTCAGTGCCTGTGCACACCTCGCATTCTTTGCGAATTATTACTGCAGGTGCGTTGCCTGTTGTAGCTAATTAGCCTTGCCTGCTGGCCCAGACGACGCCTTCTGCTCCCTGACCGTTGCTTCGGAGCCGCCGACCAAAAGAGTATCCCCACCAGCCTTGCCCGGGCTCGTCTCACATCCTGCCGTTCTCTTGTTGTCTCTCTTCTCCTCTTCTCTCGTGTTGTTTCTCTTGTCCTCTACCTCGGTGCAATTTAGGCTCCGGCTTGTTAGCTGTAGCTTTGGACGGCGTGCGGCCCTTCCGTATTCGCTTGCGAACAAAAAATCCCCACCAGCCCGTTCAGAAACCCTGCCCATTAGAGTTGACGGGAAATTGGACGAAGGGACACATCTGGTGAAAGGGCGACTAGGATGAACAGAGAGATCTCTGGAGCTAGGGGGTAAGCTTGGAGGGCCTCTTTGGGCCATCTCTGGGGCCCGCGGGGGGCGTGGGGAGGACGAGGAGGAGGAGGAGGAGGAGGAGGAGGAGGAGGCGGAGGGAGAGGCAAATCGCTTCTCGGAAGCCCTGGATGGCCCCATCTTGGAGGCCATCGATCAAAAGTGGAGTCGGTTATCTACCCCACCCCCAAAGAACCCTTGAAATCGCCTCTTGGAGCGCTCTTCAGTGGGTGGACAAAGTACCGAAAGTTATCTGAGCGTTCTGAGAAACAGCGTGCCAACTTGGATCGGACTCCATCGATATCGGAGGAACGCCCCCCCGCATTTCAATGTTGACTTGCTTTATTATGTCCACCCCGGTTTGGGATGCTTGCTTGATGCCAACATTGAAATATAGGTGGGCGGGGATTGTTCGTCGAGGTGGCGTCGCAATGTAAGGGGCTGCCGCACGCGGTCAGGAACACCTTGCGAAATTTCGTCGTCCCACCACTGGGCCGATATTGGGCATTCTTAAGCGCTCTCGGGGCCGTTTGGGGGGCCTCTTGGGCCCCTCTTGGGCCGATCTTGGGCCATCTTGGGACCATCTGGAGGCCTCAAAAGCGCATCGGCAACG